TTCCCGTCTGTCCGCTGAGTCCGGAGCTGTCAATCGTGTCGACTGTTGTCCGCATTCGCATCGAATCGATCTCTTGTGTGATGAGAGCGGTGTCGGACTCATTGCGGACTTTGCGCCGCCACGTGATGGTCGTGTCGGTGGTCGGGTTGGCGTCGACTGTGCACTCGAGGTAGGCATTGGACCACTCGTCCACCATCACGAGGTCGCTTACTTTGAGTATCTGTGCCGAGTCTGAGGGGAATAATGGCAATAGTTTGCGATTAAAACTCCGAACTAATCGTTAATTATAGTGAAGGGTTAAAAGAAAGCGTATGTGAAAAGTAATAGTGAATTATGGCATACAGTGAACGTTGATCTTAATGGCTGTTTCGCTAAATCCCAAATCGTTTTGAGCAAAAAGTTTGTAAACTCCGGAATCACTTCTCAGCGCTTGACTAATGTTAAGAACGGGTCCTTCGGTCTGGAGACGAGACGAGTCAATGGGAGCGCCAGTAGTAGTGTCACCGGCAGAGCCAGTGTCCGGCTGTCGCGACCACTTGTACTGAATATGTGAGGGATTTCCTCTGGCCGTGAGGTTTATCAAAGAGGACTGGCCTTCGGTTATATCGAATTGAGTCAACGGAGAGGTTAGGAATTCAGGCGCGACTACAGAGTGTCATAACAAACAAAAAAATTGTGTTCAATATTAGTATAATTGCATTTCGAATAATATTATTGAATCAAATAAAAGAAAATTTTGGTGTAAATTATGTAAAATACACAAAATTTTTGACACAAAAAAATATTTGTTCAATAATTTGAGCAAATGATTGGATTTGCATTAAATTTCTCGACACATTAAGTGGGAGAATATATTCCGCACAAAATTGAATCAAACAATACTCACATTGAATGCTAAGAGTTGTCGCGTCGTGTACTGACTGCTGGAGAACACGATTCGTGGCTATAATTCAAAAACACAGCAAAAAAAATATACGTTAAAAAAGAAGGAGAAGTGGAAGGAGTAGTAGAAAAGAGGAGAGAATTGTGTTCATTGAATGCTTAGAATAAAATTTAACGTAAATCTAATTAATCGGGCATTTATTTTGTAGTCAAACAGTAAAATCAATGGCAGAAATATTGGACACAAACCTTGACACGTGAGGACAGCGCCGTCGTCATCGCTGGTCACGTTTAGCCGCAATATATTTCGGGTAGTCTTTCCTCCGTAGAGGCCGTCAATGATGCCGTCCTGATGTCCATTGAGGAGGAAGCCATCCCTCCACCACGTGACCACCGATTCCGGGTTAGAGCTGCCCGTCTCGCACACCATTTCCACTTGACTCCCGGATTTGGGCTCTTTTGGGCTCATCTTTA